ATAGAAAGGCTCAGCCGGGCATGGTGGCTCACATCTGTAATCCTAGCACTCTGGGAGGCTGAGGCTGGAGGATCGTTTTGAGCTCAGGAGTTCGAGACTGGCCTGAGCAAGAGCAAGACTCTCTCCTTACTAAAAATAGAAAGAAATTAGCTGGACAACTAAAAATATATATAGCAAAAATTAGCCAGGCATAGTGGCTCATGCCTGTAGTCTCAGCTACTTGGGAGGCTGAGGCAAGAAGATCGCTTGAGCCCAGGAGTTTGAGGTTGCTGTGAGCTAGGCTGACGCCATGGCACTCTAGCCTGGGCAACAGAGTGAGACTCTGTCTCAAAAAAAAAAAAAAAAATCTTAAGAATTGAAGGCACCAGGTACCCAGGAAGCCAGGAAAAAGGGTGTGAGTGGTGGCAATGAAAACAGAAGGATTGAATTAAAGTATGAATAAGAAGCATTTAGATCCACGGATGCACTGAAGCACCTTGAATAGCCAATAACTAAGCCTACTCCAGGTAGCAGGGGCCAGGAAGTTTATTCTCTGAAGAAATTAATGCAGAAAGATTTTGAGCTTGAGGATACTAAGCAAGAGGAGTGTAAATGTGAGGTCTCACAGTGAAAATAGAGAAAGTCAGTGAAAGCTCATATTTGGAATTATAATGACTTCTATCTTCCTATCTCTTTCCAGCTGCCAAAAGTGGGCAAGTAGACTAACACACACAAGCACACAGTCCACGTTTAAGATGAGAGCAACTTGTCTAGAAAAACCAACTGGCTCAGCATATTTTCAGGGGACAATGACCAGAGAGTAAGTACATACTTGGAAGTAGGGATAAGGACAGGTAAGTATGATCGGGCCAGATTTGAATTGGCAAAAGTGTTTGGCCCTAACCTTGTAGGTGATGAAGTTACTTTTTTTTCTTAGTGGAGCAGGGATAGGAAATGAAATTACAAAGGCATTGTTTTAGGAATTTTAATCCATAATGTAGTCTTTATTGGAGGAAAATGATTCAGGGTTCCCTTACCCATTAAGCAGAGTAGATTAGTGTTAAGAAATGCAGGCAATTGGTGACATTTTACCTAGAGCTTCTTTGGGGGATAAATATTGAAAATATCAATTTCAGAGTAAGGTAAAAATTATTTATATTTCCTTAATATTTTAAAGGCTTTACAGACATTGATGTTTATTGATATTTATAAAAATGAATAATAAACATGGACTGATTAAATACAAAAAAAAGAAAAAACGACTGGCCAGTGATAAGAGACTGACTTTCAGCAGCACCACAGGGACAACCAGAGGGCCAGGGTGAGTCCGTGTGGCTCTGGCCACTGCTGCCTATTCAAGAAGGGCACCATTGTGTGTGTCTCTTTTGGAGGCCCCGAACGCCTCAGCTTAGGCTCACAAGAGGGCTTGTTGCTCAAAGGAGAGGACAACCAGGAAAACAGTCTCCTGGGCACCCATCCCCTAATGTCCTTCCTCTGCTGAGATACCTACACAGCTTAGAAGAAGCTTCCAGCAATTCTTCACTCAAGATTTCAGTTGTCAAATCCACCTGCATAGCCCAGTGGGGTAACTACTAGGATGACATTATATGTTTTTTTTTTTTTTTTTTTAGATGGAAATACTTTTCCTGGTTAAAAAACAAAAGGTGCTCACCATTGATTTCATTGCTAAATTTGAAGGACTGGTAGGGCAAATTGGGCAAATGAGGTTCTATTCACGGTGGGGGATTGGGTGGGGGGCAGTTAATAAGTGACCACTGACACAGCGCAGGTTTGAGATGATAAGCTTTCGGACTTGCCTTGGCTGGGAGTGGGCAGAAGAACAAACAGAACACAGGATTCGTGTGATGGGGGCAAGGGCAAACATCCTCCAGAGTTTTAACTGCATAACTAAGAGGACTGAGCTTCCATGACACATATACGCATCACATTAGCCAGAAGAACTATTAGAAGAAAAGCTGCTAAATTTGCTTTTACACCGTTGACACTGAGGTGCAAGGTGATTCAACTGGCAACTGGAACGCTTTTTCTTGACGCCATTGAAAAGGTGCCCAGAGATGGGAAAAGAGATGGGAAAAAAATATATATCTTTAAGGACAAGCATATGGAGATAGCTGAGAAGAAGACACAAAATCCCAAGGAATAAGAACCGAAGAGAGGGAAAGAGGGGTGATCGGGAAGGTAGGGAGAAAATCAGACGAGGTAGTCGTCACAGAAGAAAAGAATTTCGAGAAGAAAAGGGAGGTGAGCACTGTTAGAACATGGCTGAGCAACTAGGGATGATAACAGACTAGTTTATTTCTAATACAGTAATAACTGTGAGAAATCTGGCATAGGATACCAGTGAAGCCAATTCTCTGGTAGAAGGTAAAAGAAGGAAGAGAGAATGTCACAATACTGACTACAGCCCCATTGTTCTCAACCCTTTTTATTTTAAAACTCCTTTTCACTCTTAAAATTATTGAGGACTCCGAGAAAGCTTTGGATATTTGTGGGTTAGATCTACCAGTGTTTGGAATACCCAAAATTAGAACTAAAGTAAGATATTTTGATTAACTCATTTAAAAATAACAATACTAACTCCATTACATAAATAACATAGTTTTTATGAAAAATAACTATATTTTCCCCAAACAAAAGTCATTTGAGCAAGAAGAGAGCAGTGGTTTACATTTTTGCAAATCTCTTTAATGCCTGGCTTAATAGAAGACAGCAGGAGTCTTCTATGTGCTTCTGCATTCAATCTGTTGCAATGTGTTGTTTTGGTTAAAGTATATGTAGAAAACCTGGCATCCAACAGATGGGTAGTGGGAAAAGAGACTTCCCGGAGAGACTTGGGACCCCAAGAGGTCCTTGAACCAGGAGTTGAGAATTCTGGTGCAGGGCATTTCTTTGAGAAACTTCACGATGCAAATACACAAATTGGGTGCCAACTCAAGGGAGTATTACGTTTGAGGGAAGGATTCTGAGTTTGTTGGTTTTTAACAATGGGAAAAAAAACCTATGGATGTTCGTAAGCCCAAGGAAAGAAAATAAGAAAGGGAGAAATTGAAGATGATGGAGAAGAAATAATTGTTGAATCGAGGTGCCAATGGAAGGCAGAAGCATTGAGGTGGACAGCAGGAAGGAAAGTTTAGCCTTGAACAAGGGAATGTCAACTTTTGCTCATGCCACAAAAGGATGAGCAAGGAAATATGGTTACATAGAAAAAATCCAAGGCAGTAACAACATGAAAATAGCGTAGGATGAGGAAAGGTGAGGCCCCTACACTCTTTACAGTCAAGAATGAAATACGTCATTTGTGGATGATGAGTAATGTGCTTGCAATATTAGAGATGAGGAAAGACAGCAAGGGGAGGGGCTGGAGAGAGAAAAATTAAAATAAACATCCTATGAGCATAATATATGGAGACACGCTACACAGTGCTTAGCCCAGAGCAGAGGCCCATTAAATGTCCTTTTGTAATCCATGACAGGGCAGTAAGATGGCGTTCACATTGGAGGACACCAGGCAAGACAGCATGGCGGCTCTCTGGTGAACTGTGTTAATGGCCGAGGTCTGGCTCATGGGGACACATTTCAGAGACTCCCAAGGGACTGATTCTCGGAAATGGCTTAAGACCAAGACACACAGGAAATGTTCACACTAGAGACAGACTCTGGATTTGTTGCTGAAAAGCTCATCTTGTAGAGTATGATCAGCCTCATCATCCTTCCCTTCTGCACAAGATTCTGGTGAGCACTGTACACATCTGGGACTCATTTCAGAAAATCTCTTTCCAATTTTCTGTCCTCTATTCGTTAAGAGCTCTCGTATTTACATAGACAATCACATAAAAGAAGGAGGAAGAAAGAGGTGAGCTAAAGGAGTTTTTCCTTTGGGATTTTTAGTTAGACACATTCATTACCACTTTTAACAGAGGGGGTAAAAGAAGCCATTTCATTCCGAATCTTCGAAAGAAGATATATTTGAATCTACTTTTTCCTTTTTAAAAAAAATTTAATTTTTTTTGTAGAGATAGGGTCTCACTATGTTGTCCAAGCTAGTCTCAAAATCTTGGCCTCAAGCGATCCTCCCACGTTGGCCTCCCAAAGTGCTGAAATTATAGGTGTGAGCCACCATGCCCTGCCTTGCCCCGTCCTTTAAGAAAAATCCAAACTCTCTTCCATCTGAAATGTCTTCATTCCATTTCAGACTTTGAAACTGTCATCTTTCTCTTCTATTCCTGACTTTGCTTGAGGCCATTAATTCATAATATTAAAAAAAAATTAAGTTACTGTTTGATGATTTCTCTCTCCTGAAAATGAATATTAATATACCTTCACTTTGATTTTTGTTTTTTCAATTTATTTCCTTAGGTAAACTTTAAAGTACCTTCTGTAGTAATTGCTTTCAAAGGGGGCAATGAAGGAATATTCAGCTTGATTAGGTTAGCATTCTATTATTATTCCATCATGAGCCTATTCCATCATCTTGAATAAACATTTCTATTATTGATACCTTAACTTCCGCATCTACGAAATGATATGTTGGGAAACAGCTCTAAAGAAGAAAAACATAATAATAGACTGATGTGATGTCAAAATCAATCATTTAGATTTTCCTTATTTTAGGCTTAGACAGACAAAACAAACAAGGCTGAAGGATATTCTTTGTCAATCTGCCTTGAAAGTAGCCCCTTTACCCATGGGAAATATGTTCTAAGAACTCCCAGTGAATTCCTGAAACTTAGATAGTACTGAACACTGTATATATAGTATGTATTAATATTATATATTAATACTATGGTAATATATACCATAGTATATATTAATACCATAGTATATATTAATATATACCATAGTATATATTACTATTAATATAATATTAATATTATTAATAATATTATGGTTTTTTTCTACACATACATATGTATGATAGAGTTTCATTTATCAATTAGTCACAGTGAGAGATTAATAACAATAACTACTACTAAAATAGAACAATTATAAGAATATTCCAGCACCAGTACTCTTGTGCTTTGAGGCCATTATTAAGTGACATAAGGGTTCCTTCCACACAAGCACTGTGACGTCACAGACCTGACAACCAGGATGGCACCTGGGTGACAAAGCGTAGACAGCACAGATCCAGTGGACAAAAGGAGGAGGATTCACATCCCAAGCAGCACAGAACAGGATGGCACGAGATTTCACACTTCTCAGAAAGGTGCGTCATTTAAGACTTCCGAAGCGTTTATTTCTGGAACTTTCCATTTAAGATTTTTCAGGCCGAGGTTGACTACCGGTAACTGAAACCTGGGAAAGTGAAACTGCAAATAAGAGGGGACAACTGTACTGTCCTATACACATAGTGTGTACGAAAAGTTTCACTTGTATACTGATGTGATTTAATACTATATAAAAAGAGCAAAAAGAATAAATACCATTTATTGTTCCTTCCTATATCACTGGCACTGCAGTAAGAACTTTACATACATGATCTCATTTTAATTTCATGACAACTCTATGATGTAAGTACTCTTAACTCCATTTTATGAGTGAAGAAACTGAATTAGGTAAGATCTCCAAGTTCACACCAGCACTGAGCAGAGATGCTGAGTTCTAGCTCCTTCCATTGTACACTCAATTACTTTGCTTCCCTTTATACTCTTTTAGAATACCACTGGTGAAGACTGAAACATTGTGTGTGTGTCTACATGTGTCTGTGTATGTGCATGCAGTATACACATGTGCACAGCAATCACTACAAAAGAGAAGCAGAACACGTGAAAATAGAAGAAATTCCGGTGAGAATTTACCCTCTGCATTTTGCTTGCATGAGTATAACACATGAGAAAACCTGGTAGCGCAAAAGAAATAAAGATTCAGGGTAACTTCTGACAAAGTTACTTTGATCAAATAAGGTCGCCCACAAAAAAATTAAACATATCTATCCCAGATTTCAAATCTCTTTGAGTGAAAATATTCTGCTTGGTTTGGTTTTGATTCAATCTTGGATGTCTCCAGTGTTAGGTGGGTGATCTTGATATCACAAGGGCAGAAATTTAATTTAGAATTTAGTAAATAAAATGACAGAATATGTGGGTGACATTATTGTTAGTTAATCTTAGGATCCACCAGGGGAAATTTGGTTGGTGTAAATTCCTATCCAAGTCCGAAAATGTTTCAAATCCTACACAAAATCTCATTATGATAACTTTCACAGGTAACTATTATCTGAAGTTATTGGCTTCTGCAAGGTAATGCCTCCTCTCTCAAAAAAATTCATTTATAAATGATATATTTAGCTTAATGAAATAGCCACATTTAATTTGTAGTAAGAGACATCAATCAAATCTATTATATTTTAAGAGTTAATGAGTTTTTAATGTTTACAGTAAAAGTGTCCATTGAGCAAACTAGTCCTAATTAGAAGGCTAAACCATTTTTTTAAAACAAAAAGGTCCTGCTTTCCTTTATAAGATTTTGATGTGTTCCAATTATCTCAGGGAGCTTAGTAATGCTCAAAACTAAATTAACCTTAATTAACTCTAAAATAATAGCCACATTATACGGCAACTTCCAACAGTTTTTAAGCGTGGGTCTATTGCATATCCGAAAAAAATTTTCAAAGTCTAAAAAAAAAAAAATCTCATCCACAGAAAAAACAACACATTGCTACTATAATGACATGACACTATAATTTTATGATACCAATCATTAGTTTTAATGCCACGATGTTAAAATGGCTCATATGAGAAACTCATTTATGATTTACTTAAAAATGTACATTGTATCCAGTAGCCTACTAGTTAATGCTCCTGAAAAGAAATAAAATCTCAGTCAACTAATCAGAGTTTTAATTACAAACAAAATGACTATGACCGTATAATTCTATTCATGTTATATAATCACTGTCTGCTTTTTTTTTTTTTTTTCTTATTTCCTTATCCTGCCATTACACTAAATCGGATGTTATTCTTTTTTAACAAATACAGGGACATTTTCGTTTTTCTGGTTTTTTTTTATGGGAAAACCTGTGCCTGTGAATTTTTTGCTGTGTGTATCCTGACGGTGGTGAGCACTGGGAAACCAGGTCCTTTATAGAGTGGATGGTCAGGAAATGCTTTCTCTCCTGTGCAGCTCAGGAGGGCTTCTCCACTCTTCTTTCTTTACATCTTCACATGTCAATGCTCTTTGTCCAAGTGACATTCCAGGGGGAGTTAAGGCAGCAAGAATGGGGGGGGGGTGTGACTCTGAGCCTCCTTCCTAGTCACATTTCTGTGTCCTATGTCCGTTTGTTACCCATACAAATCGGGACTACATATTGCAAGGAATTATGAGATTCTTTATGGATTTTAGACTAGAATTTTCTCCTCTAACTGCTCCGGACGTGGGGCTTTTTGGAGATTTGCTGCTTTGTGTTTTTCTACAGCTCCTGAAAGTCTCCCTGGCCCTGGAGTGTTCTGGAAGTGCAGGTGACAAGCATCCTAGCAATAGGTGACAATATGCTAATTTCACTCGGCCTCTGTATGCTCTTTGGATAGCGAGGATGACCAGGATCAAAATAACAAACATGAAAAAGATGTGAAGAGTAAGCCTCACAAAGGACTTGAAAGTCTGTCCCCAGCAATGGCCCGGGACAAAGTTGTGACATATGAAAATATGTATTTCTATGGAGTGCTGGTTCTATCCTCTTTTCATCTTTTCCTTAAATCTTGACATGCAGGCCTTTTATGCTACATAGCATTTCCCTGTCCTCGGCCCCATTTCCAGACAGTCCCTGTTTTGTTCCCCATTTCTGTGTCCTGGGTTTGATCGTTGCTAAAGGACATTTGAACAAATCTGTGTTTACAGGTGGATATGGTAGTATATTTCTAATGTAACTATCTCCTGGACAATTTAGATAAGTGGACGTATTAACGCAAATGAATATTGCGGGAAAGTTATTACAAGTACTAAGGGAAAGAAATCTTGTTGTAGCTCTCAAATGACCCTACATAGGCCAGCCCTTTTTATGCCATAGGACTTATATCACTTCACTCTATTATGTTCCATGTGAGTCTAGATGGTACATCTCTCTGTGGTTGACTCCCCCAGTATACCTCAAGCTTTAAAAAGCAGGGGCTTTAACTCTGTTGTATGTTTCACAGGGCTACACGTGTTACTGTACGCATATTAGGAAAGTAATAGCGATGCAATCTATTAGCGATGCAATCTAATAGCGATGCAATCACCAATACATAAGTGCACAAGTGTTTAATGCAGGGGTCCTCAAACTTTTTAGACAGGGGGCCAGTTCACTGTCCCTCAGACCATTGGAGACTGTGCACTGTGGGCCCAGGACGAGTCGGCTGCTAAGCAGGACAGGCAGCGGCTGCAAAAGCACCCAATGGGGCAGGATAAATGTCCTAGGTGGGCGGCATGGGGCCCACGGGCCGTAGTTTGAGGATACCTGGTTTAATGGGAGATATAAACCTAGTCTTTATTACAGAAAAAGAGGTCTTCAAGGATGTGAACTTCAATGGAAACCTAAAAGATAAGTGGTACTTTACTAAGTAAAGAATACAGGGGAAAGTACTCCAGACAGAGAAAACTGCAAGGAGTTTGGTGTATTCAGGGAAAGGAAAAGAAGGCAAGATGGTTAGAGAACAAAAAAACTCGCTTCAGGCTCCAGCAACACGGTTCTGGTCAGGGTAACCCCACAGGTAGACTGAGCTTCAAATAAGTGGAAAGAGGTAGATGGGAAATAAGTAGATGGGGAACAGTAAAGGTTTCTGTCAAATTTCGTTATTTTATTCTGACATATAAGTACCCATTTTTCTTATGGAATTACTCAAATATATTCCTGTCGCCAGGGATCTTCAATAGAGTCTTCTTTCTGTCCTCCCCTAAGTCTTGAGAATATATCACCACTAAAATCTTGTAGATGCTACTCTTGATACATTCTTCATTTGCAGCTAAAAATAATTGAACACTCTCACCTTCTTATGTAGTACCAGTTCTATGAACTAAGAAGCATGACTTTGAGCCAACACACCATTTCATGGCTATTATAAAATAATAATCAATTCTGATCAATGAAAAATACAGTTTTAGTTGAATGGGTTTATTAGGAACCTATAGGCTAACAATTAACTGTTTGCTGTGTCAGATTTTTTTAAGTTTAATCAAAGCTTTAGTAGTAATCCACCTAACCCAAAATATTTGGTTATTTGCTACATATTAGTTATAAACTATCCATTAAATGACACTTTGGTTTAAAAAAGAAAAAAAAAGCCCAGATGCATTTAGTAGCTTTTGAAAATCCAGTTTACGTGGCAATAAAAATTGACAATGGCTTACATTGCCAAACGTGTGTAATCTATATTTTGGGATATAACAAAAATTTTCCATACAACCATAATCAAAACATTTGTTGTATGTTGCATGCACCATATAAATTTAACTATCAAAGGTTTCAAACATGAAGTATATTAAAAACATTGGATCTCAGAAAAGATCAAATGATATTATACATATGCAAGTGCTTTGAAAATGGTGAAGCACCATAAAATATATCAAGGTATGAAAGTAATATATACATACAATAGCAGAAACCAAATGTAACTGCCTTCTGCAAATGATGTAATGATCTTGTTTGTCTAATTTGCATTTTCGGAAAAGACTGCTCATATGTTACAACAGCAGCTAAGTTTACAACAGTTTTTCTTTGTTCTTGGCAAACAAAAAAAGGTTAAGAATTTGCAGACAAGTCTTGGCAAAGAGGGATTCTGATTCAGCCTTGCCAATCCCTGAGAGCAATAGTATATAGCTGGAAAATGCACGCAGGTTATGAACTTGGTAGAAAAATTTTCTAGTTAGTATTGCTTATCAGTGCGACAATATCTTCAAGTCAAAATTGGGCCTTGAGGAGTATTAAGATACTTCTAGAGCATTTTACACACCAGTTGGCTCTTCCCATTCCCATGTAGATGGTTTCTTTTTCCATGCAGAAATAGTATTGGGGTTACAATGGTAAAATAGCATAACCAATATTTCCCCGGTCCACCTAAATAGATAATTTGACTTGGAATGCCACATTTTGTACTTTCAATGATCAACTGGATTATTTCCCATATCACAAAGTTTTGTTTTCTGACACAGATAAATATATATAAATGCTATTTGGGATTTTATCCTCAAAAATGATACAAACTTTTTTGTATCCAATGATAATTCTGGCTGGATTTTTGTATCCACGGATCAGACCTAGAAACTGACCATATGGTAGAGGCACAAGGGACTTTATAGATCATGTTATCAATTCTATTAACCCATTACCCCTATTTGACAGATAGAGGCTGTGTCCCAGGGGGGCATTCCTATAACAGGTATGCTTCTAGGCCTTTTATTTAAAGTGACAAATCAGTTGCTATTGGAGAAATGACGGCCACATTTTTTTTTTCTTCTGAAGAACTAAATGTTGCAAGAATTTTCACTCCTTTCCCTTTTTCTTGCTTGCTGAGACAGGATATATTTCCTTTGTCAGCCTGCCTCACAGCCCCAAATTCTTCTGCCCCTTATATGGAAAGATATCACTTGCTTAAACATGTTAAGAGGCACAAATGAAAAGGAACCACTAAAAAGATTTTTATATACACACACACAGAGATACATATATACCAGCTTCAGCAAACCAACCAATACAGGGACTTACCTAAAGTTAACTATCATACATAATAGTTGACCATGACCTGACATTCTCCTCATCTGACTAAAATGGCCCTGTACGTACCTCTCTATCTTTATAGCAAGGCCCCACTTT